TATATATTATATAATTTAATATAATTTAAATTATATAATATTTTTTATAATTTAAATTATTAAATAATAACTTACTTTTGATTAAAAAAATAAGAAAGGAAAAAAGAAAAATCAAATCAAACCAAATAAAGGGGTTATTCAAACCAAAACAAAGACATCTCACCGAATCCGAAAAGGATAAGGTTCCACCGAGATATTTTTTATGTGAAGTTTGGTTGATATTTTTTTGGTCTGACTTTTTTCCGTACAAAAATAATTCAAAGACATCCATGTGTTGTATATTTAGTAACTTGTAAGAAAAACGTAGTGCTACAAAATATCTGAGAATTCAAAGACGGAGACAGGAGGAAAAAACATGGAGTCTTGTGGGAGGCCAAACAGGAGCGATATTCATTTGTCTGCGGAGGAAGAAGCGAAAATGGAAGAGAAGACTAGAGAGTACTTCGACGGGATTGCTCCCAAACGTCACAGCAAACCTCAACGCAGCGACTATTCTTCTAAATATGTCGATGCTCTTGTCACCGACGGCGGCGGCGGCGGCGGCGGCGACGGCAACAACAACAACAACTCCATTCCTGAATACAACGAGTTTCAACGTCTTGAACATGAGGATCCTCAGGTTTGATTCTTGATTTGTTGGGGTGGAAGAAAAATATGTAATTTTTCTTTAATTAGTACTCAGATTTATTTTTATAAAAAAATTTGAAGCAGAAAATAGTTTTCAATGGAACCAAAGTGACTGAGGAATTTGTGGAGACTGAGTACTATAAAGATCTCAACTGCGTTGGCAAGCAACATCACACCGTAAGAAGCAAGAACATGCCATTGATTTAAATTTTTCTTCTTTTTTTGGTGATGTTGAAATAATATTGAGAAGTTTTCCTTTTGGATTTGCAGACAGGAACAGGGTTTATCAACATGGAGAACTCTAATGGTGGATGCTTCAGCCTGGAACCAGATCAGGCGACTGAGAGTCATGCCTCCAGCCGGGGAAACCCGGCAACCAATGAATGGATTCCGGCAGCTGCCGAGTCGGTAACCTGACGAGCTTTTGCTTCATTAGCATTTATATGTCCTTTCTTCTAGTTTCCATGGTTTTGCAATTGACCTAATAATTACTTTGTTTTGCTTGATTTCTTTGCTTTTCAGGTAGCTTTTAATTCAGACAAACCAAACAGGAGCGACAACTGAAACTATAGTATCATTAGTTCCTCCTGTTGAATTTATCATCAGATCTGGGGACTTATCATGTAATGCTTAAAACTATGATGTATTAATTCATGAAAATAAGAATGGATTGCCATTTTCTTTCACAATTCTCTTTGTTTTAATGCAAATGACAGAATATGATGACAAAAAATTCCAAAGGCAAAATGGTTAAAAATCTTTTAGATGATATGGAACTAAAAAGATCTTCACTACATCGGATCAGACAGAATTTATCGTGTATAATGGCATAATGTACAATTACAACATTGCCGGATTTTTGCTTCGGCAAATCCTAGCTGGTAAAGTCCGGCCAGGATTGGAGCTCTGACATGGTCAGACTCCAGTAATGTACAAACTAGCTGCAAAAACGATATCCCTTTTTATTGCATTAGAAGCAGTTTGCATTTTCTTGTAGAGTGCAGAATTTCCCATGATCGCTGCAGCGTTTCTAAACTCACGGCAAGTCTCATCTAACCTCACAATGGTTCGGACTATGAGACCTTCAGGAACATCTGTAAGATCACAAATGTCTGCAAATGGAGTTCCCTGGCACAAGAAATATGGTGTAAGATAGCAAACCTATAGCTAAATCAAGATGTAATTGGTAGGCTGCAAAAGAAGGAACCTTTGCCCATTCATAAACGACTTCAACAAGACCAAACTTGAGATTCTCTTTTGCATATTCCTCTGGAGTTATTTGAAGTTTGCACTGGGCTTGAAGCTCCCCAAGTTGTATAGCTGTATCGTACAATCTGGAGCACGTAGTTATCCCAAGTTAGTTTCTAAAATGACAGTGGAAGAGGATAAGTTCTGTTTTCAATCACAATGTCGGCAATGAAATTCTGCCTCAATTGCTGAAGCTTGTACTTTATTATTACATCAAGAGGAAAGATGGAGGGAGAAGTAGAGAACCTTTGTTTAGCCTGAGAGAGTTTAGGTGTGAGAGAGGGCTCAGAAGTGTTTTTCTGCTGAAACACAAGGGCAGACATTAAAGCCACAGCTTCTTCAGGTTCCAGATCATCAAGTTGATTCTCGAACAAACATTCGGTACAAATCAATTCCTCCCCTGAATTCATCTCACATGCAACACGGCCTTTTATCTGGACTACAAGATCTTCATCTATACAACCAATTTCCTTCAGAACATCAATCTGCAAGAGAAGTTACATGTTAATGGAAGATGTTCAATAGTGAAGATTGACAGCAAAGCACCCAACAGCTTCAACAGAGAAAATTTGGAAATAAATCTGCACACGAGTATCTTACCCGGCCCTGAAATTCTGGCATCTGTTGCAGTGCTTCATCAGACATTTGAAATCTAAGCTTATTAACTTCTTCCTTGTGACTATTATTCTCTCTAGCTAACTTCTTGTGCTCTTCCAGTTTTATACATCCATGGCATTTGTTCTCTGCCATCTTACGCAATAGGTGGGTCCACTTGTAGTATGTTTCCACAAGATCCATGTCTTTCAACTTCAAATCTGAAACAAAGTCAATATTAGAAAATTGACCTCCAAAATGATTTTTTGTTTGTCCTTAAATTAATACTGCAAAATGGGCCTCCAGGCATTTCTCTTTCCTTTAAAAATAAATAAAAAAGGAAAGAAAAGAAAAGAAGCCTACTCAGCTAACCATATCATCATGAAGGAGTGGAACAACATAGAACAAGAGAAAGATGGTTACCTTCATCTCAGTCAAAATTCAACATTGTAGTCTTTGTTTTTACTTTCTCTTTCGATATTCTAAAAACTTGAAATTATTCTAAATTAAACAAAGCCTAAAAAATTGCATTACTATCTCTGACAAATATTCTATGAAAAAGTGCAACTGTGGATCTCAGATAAACGGGGGTCCATGACTTGCAAGGAGGAAATCTTTGGCTTCATATGCAGCTTTGTGAGTATATGACTACCACTAATTATGAGGTCCATCTTGCCCATAGCATCAACATTCATGTTCATGAAGAAATGGATGTACCTTTGCGTGGATCCAAGGCTGGAGGATATTTGTTTCCATCAGATTTCAATTTCAACAGCTGCTGAACAGTGCTAGAGAAAGCAGCATTACTACCATCTTCAAGAAGCCGAGCCTGTTCTATCTTTATCTTTCTATCGCATATGCATTGGAATTCTTTACTATCAAACTCTTTGACCTCGTAAGCAACCCCTGCAGCAGAACCAAGGTGGGGCAATTTTATGTTGATTACACCGGATCCTTTCCGTGATGTGGCAGATGAAAAATACTCATCGTCAAGCCCTCGTCTCGCTTTTGGCAAGAGCATAACACCTTGCTGGAAAGCAGCACCTCTTGAATCTTGCAAGCTACTGCTGCCGGAAGGAGTTTGAATCATTGATGGTACATCAGGTTTAAGCACTAACACAATATATTGCTTCTTAATAGGAGATGCTTTAACAACTACTCCTAGCAAATGATCCTGAGCCTGTCAATTGTCAATTATACAAGTTTTTAGATGAAATGATAAACCAGCATATTAAAAAGTTAAATATGGCTGGCTACATACAGATACCAACCTCTAACAAAAGATAAATTCAAAATAGCATTAACCATGTATGGCTGAGGAAACTAATACCACTATTTCAGCATCAGTCAACCATTATTACAGAAAACACATCTCCATCATTAAATTGACAAGTTTTGTCATTATGTTAACTTCCCCTCATATGAGGTAAGTAAAAACAGAATATACAACTGATCTGAAAACCCACAAGGCCATCATCTTATCATTATCTGTCTGTAATTCACTCCAAATGCCCTGAAACCATGCTCCATTGTCCATATCAAAAATTCAATACATAAATGAATTAAGTTTATGCTATGAAGGATGATCATCAATTAAGAAAATTGTTCAGGTGGAGAGCTTCTTTTGCATTTGATGCAGGTTGGCAGCACACCACAGACAGTCCAGATTAGTTTTCATTTGTTATTCATTTTTTCTGATTTTTTGGTGCAAGGTTGGGCAGAGCAACAAAAGAACAAACCATGCAAATGTATGGTAATCCATGATATGAGAAGTGAAAACCAAATCCAAGAAACTCACAGATTGTGATTTCACAACTATGACCCTCCCAGGCGAAAGAAATTGTTGGGTAGCAGGAGACTGCATAACAGCTTCTGATATCTGATCACCATACTTTTCATATTCTGCATACATCTCATAATACTCCTCTATTGTTGGTTCACCTTTGATACATCTACATGCAAAAAAAAAACTTGATGAGCCAGGTACAAAAATTGACTGAAGAATACTTAAACAAGGAGAAAATCACAAAAGCTGCCAGGCAATTGTGGTGACTAAAAGTTACCAATACAGATTAATGCAGATGATAATGCTATTTCTATGTCCATGATAACACATGCAATATCAAAGATTAGAATCTAATTGACCTTAACTACTTTTCACAATTTAGGCAATGAAACTGGCACAATATCAAAATTTTACAGGCAAGACTGCCAAAATGGGGGCTTAGTATTGTCAGATCAATCACCATGGTAAGATAACTTTTCTCATGTTGGTCAATCTTACTCTAGGAACTTTTGATCTTCCCCATTTGGTTACTTCCGCTGTCAGAAAAATTTAACTTTCACCCCCTTTTGTTTATTTAGAAGCAAACATGCAATAATTAAAAGATATGACAACCAATGCAGCCTGAATTCAAACTAAAGCTTGCCCAATCACATTTTCAGATGCAACAGGCTTAATCGTAATTAGTTTGTGACAATAGCAGCAATGTCATCATACCACCTACACAAAAATGATACATGCATGACTTAGCAAACAATCATAAAACCTGTCAAAACATTTAGCAACCAGCAAAGAGTTGGTAGACATCCAGAAGCATGTAAAAGTATCACCAAACAGAACATGAGGATGGAGTAAAAACGCATGGGTGCTATAATGTTCTGGGAAGTAACACATGAACGAATGCAAATCTCACACCCAACAAATCTATCAGGAAAAAAATATCCAAATCCTCCCAGATGCATCAGCATTCAAGTCTCCTCATGCATACATATACTTATTACTTACTCAATAGTTTTTGTTGGCTGTGCAAGCTTTCTCATTAAAAGTTGCTGCTGTTCTGGAAGTTTCTTCTGAGCATGAAATTCAGCAAAACTTCGTTTCAACATGTCTTCTACCTGAATTTAAGGTCCAGTTAGAGTCCCCTACAATTCTGCTAATCAAAACTGCTCTTAGAATACTTTAACACCAAAATTAGAGAAAAACAGTTGTATTTTATGAAACAGCATACAATGAAACGATGAAGCCAGGGTGATGCAAAATGGTGAAGAATGGGAATGTGGGTGATTTGTCAATCAAGATTCAAGAAGAAGATGAAACTGTTGGATGATGCTTAATAACATATTTAAACTGCTTCTGACTATTCCAAATCTAATCTTTAAGTACCTTCAGTTCTTCCACACGAAGGAGATGCAGGATCATGATATATGTCAGTCGAAACTGAGATTCAAGTCTAGTTGCACTTCCAGTTATTAGGTGCTTCAAATCAGTTTCTTCAGGTATTTCATCACGGCACAACACAACAACAGTACCAATTGTATCTAGACCTCTTCTACCAGCACGTCCTGCCATTTGAGTGTATTCTCCAGGAAGTAATTGTCTAAATTCCTTGCCATCAAACTTTCTTAATGCATCAAAAACAACCTGAACAGAATTTTAATGCAAGTCAAGAATAAGATGCAGAAAGGTAATCATAATGTTTGATGCCTATTTGCTACTCCAAAATTGCTTTGTCACTATTGTGAACCAAATTAAGAGAGTAAACAAAAAACCTGGTCAGAAAAGCCTTATATGAACAACTTAAGAGACTGTTTCAGTTCAATTTCCGGCTAACCTTATGGATGAAAATCACCAATTTGACCAAGAGTAGGTGACAACTCTTACCATTGATTAGAGTTGCTCTTAGTATAGATTATGGAACCAACAACTTTTATTGGAACTGAAAGGTACAATTCAAAATTCAAGCAGCACATAATACTCACCGTTCTAGCTGGAGCATTAACTCCCATTGCAAATGTCTCAGTTGAAAACAAAACCTTCACATGAAGAAGAACATGCATCAACTAGTTATAGCTTCTAAAAGTGTCCAGAACAAATAAAATAAATGCCTAAACTGATTGTCACTTTATGATGGATTTGATAAAAATGAAAATTACTGGAGAAAAACAATTTCAGACCTTGGCTTCTGCACGACAAATAACAGCAGCAACATTTCAAATCCCCAAAAAAAAAGTGGATGATATGTTAAACTCAATCTAGCGATAAACAATTTTAAACAATTTTACCTTAATCACACCACGGCAAAAAAGCATTTCTACAACCTCCTTAACAATTGGGAGCAGCCCTGCATGATGCACACCAATTCCTCTATGAAGAAGGTTCTGGACTCTAACAACCTGTACCTCTTATCAAATTAAATTCTGTGGGATCCAATAAGACTTGTAGAAACTAGAGACTCAAAAAATTTGAAAAATACTAGACCTGAGGTAACTTGCGATCAGATCCCTTGAGCCGGGAAAAAGCCTTGTCACAAAAGATACGAATCTCACTTTTCTCAGAACTAGTAGTGAGATCTGTCCCAGTAATACAGTCAGCAGATTTATCGCAGTGATTCTTCGAGAAACAAAATATAACCACCTAAAGATAAATCAACGAAAATTTTGTCGATTTAATCAGGTAACAAAAATTTAACAACAAAGCAAAATACTCTCTACTGTTACTTCACAAAAGTACGCTATCTGGTTCAAAATGCAAGCGTTAGGGCCCTGGACTAAAAGATTATCACTTCTCAACACCATGAAGGAACAGTGCAGTTTGCTTCAAGATGCAGTGACTACAAGTTGTATCACAGTGACCAGAGCTAAACTGCAATGCCATATCTTGCAACAAAAAGCACAGTTTCTAAGCAAACATGCAAATTATATAAGCATGCACTCAATAGTGCTCATCATCTCCTTTCCAAATTTTCTCTCCATAAGATTCTCTAAAAGTGCTAAGTCTCTCATCTAGAAATTATTCTGTCCTTTTCATTTCTTTTTCTCGTTTAAGAAATAGATATTTTAGAAAGAAACTGTGGTTAGTTATTAGGTGTCATTTTCAAATATGACATAAACCTAACGTGCCCTACATTATAAGAATACGCTCCAAGGAGATATAATTTAACATACAGGTAGCAATGACTTCCTAGAGAGCTTGTCAATAAGTGACAACCATGTTGTTCTCCTTGCCCCCCAAGTATTCTGGCCACCGCCAATGGTCTGATTTCCCCAAACAGTCCCAGAGACACTCCTAGAACTTTGTGAACCAGCATGCTTGTTCTGTTTCCCGCGGTTAGGAGTTTCACGTTTTGGAGCTCGAGTCACATCTGGAGCTGGAGAGGGCCCAGTACCTCTACTACTGGTGCTTGAATTCTTTTTCTTGTGTGCATCTCTAGCAGCCTTCACTCCCTGTGATATGAAGGTCTCATTTTCACATATTTTGTAAAGTTCTCCAGAGTAGAACAAGGAATGCTCCAGTGGAACTGGTCTTTTGGTAGTCCTAACATCAGAAATATATAGGAAATAAGAAGGTGGCATTAAAAAGTAGATTAATAACAGTACAAATCTGTTGGTTATACTCTTAATTTTCCATCGCTACGAGGGAGGAAGAATGGGAATACAAGAAAAATGAGAGAAAAAAGAAATGAAAAAAATAAAAATAATAATAATTTCACAGTACAGAGAGCTATTAAGACAGAACACAGAAGATCTACCAGTAACCACCATCAGAGAATTGCTACTTACCCAGTAACACGAATTTTCTTCTGCTTTGTCCTACCAATCCAGTCAGCAAATTCAGCTGTATTTGGTACCTATAAAGTAAAATAAACAGCAAATTCAATGAATCAATGCATCCTCCACCTCTAGAAAGAATGAAAAGAAACTAAACATTTAGATCAATGATTTTCCTTCCTTTCTTTCTTTTTCTTTTTCAGAAACAAGGGTAACTTTAATCAGTATTGATAACAATTTTCATGCAAAATAAGAGGCATTCAAACAATGCAGAGTGGATAACAACTATCAAGAATTTGTTCTTTATCCAGTATTCACTTCATACATATCTAATTGCATGAGGTAATTTAATGGAAGGTGCTTCACTGCTTCATTTGTTACCCCAAATTTCAGTACAACATTTCAGACTGCAAGGTCCACAAGGACCAATTAAACAAAATCTGTCATCTGCTATTAAAAACCCACATCCCAGTGCCAGGAGAAAACTTTTTAAAATCTCAAACATGTATTATCATACAACATAAGATGACAAGAATGTGCCGCTAGAATCTGAATGACCAACCATTGCACGCTAAGCTAAAAATGAATTCTAATGATAGAAGTACCGTGGCTGAAAGTAGGACGAAATTGATATGCCTTGGGAGCATGATTATGACTTCTTCCCAAACAACACCTCTTTCAACATCGTTTACATAGTGCACTTCATCAAATATAACCTATCTCCAAATAGACACAACAAAAAAACAACAGCAATACATTAGTAGTTATTCTAAAATATATACATACATACATACATATATATATATATATATATTCTGCTTGAAAGTTGTAGGGTAATTAATGTTGTAAAAGTATAATTTACATGAAAAGATCCTCTCTTACCCATTCAATATCACGAATAATATCTGCACCTCGGTAAAGCATTGATCTCAATATTTCAGTGGTCATGATGAGACAAGAAGCCTCTGGCCTCAGGCTCACATCACCTGTTAGCAGGCCGACATCAAATTTCCCAGAGAAATCCCTATACTTTTGGTTGCTGATTGTCTTAATTGGAGCAGTATAGACAGCTCTGGTGCAGTGCTGGAAATTTAAAAATCTTGGAGTTAAATTAATTAAATTTGGAACACGACATCATGTAAAGATATGTAAGAATTTAGAAACTACAGTAATGAGAAAAGAAGACAACCCTAGTTTTTAATCAATACAATGGGGTCTACAAATTACTACTAACATAAACAAAAATGACCCTGCAGTAAATTTGCTCAGATTATCATACTTTCGATGCCAAAGCAAATGCATACTCTGCAACAACTGTTTTCCCAGCAGATGTATGAGCTGCCACAAAGACAGATTCCCCTCTTTCCAAATAGAAGATTGCCTGTAACCATCAAAATAATAAGAAAGCCCATATAAGCAGAATAGAGTAAGTAAATAGGTATCACTCTTCAAGATAACATGCAGAGTGATGAACAAAACAACAACCGGTACATGCATGGGTAACCTAATAGTGCTAAATAGTACACCACATACTAATAACATTTCCAAAAGTAGTAGTTTAAATAAACCAAGATTTCTCAAGTGCAGACCTGGAAAAATAAAACTAAGGTAAAAAAAAAAAAAAAAATTCCTAATGGATTGGTAAAGATAAAGGAAAAATAAAAACACAGAGCAGAGTGGAATGTGGATGTTTTAACATTTCCAAAGTTGTTGCAGGCCTCAGCAATGTCATACATAACTTGTCAGGATTAAAATAAAGAACAAAGGCAAAACAGTTGACTTAAGAAAATTGCATTTGAATAAGATCCAAAGTTCTTTGGATCCCCACATCCTAACATAATGTTACTCTTACAATTTGACAACAACGTTCCCACCCAAGTCATCATAAATCTCCTTGAGGCAGCCTAATGGGAAAATATATGAAAGGTGTAGATACCTCCTTCTGGAATGTATCCAATTCGAAAGGAAATTCTAGTGCCATGTCAGGAACAAGTTCATAAAAGTGGTCAGCAATCCCTTCAGTACCTCCACGGACAGCCCAAGCCTGCCATTTAATAGCTCATTAGCTGAGGCATTGCCACATGGAAATCAGTCCTGGTGTAAAGAGGAAAAAGCGAGCTAAAGGAAATACATGAGAAGTTAAAATTTAAAAACAGCTAGTTTCAGCTACCTCCTGCTGCTGCTCTCCACCGCTATCACTGGTCGCATCCAATATTCCTGATTCAACTGATAGAATTTCATCCAACATGGATATTCCAGCCTCAACAGTGCTGGAAACATCAACCTGATTTCCCTCGGCTTCTGACCTCACAGAGGCTTGCTCCTCTGAATGGTCTTATATAAGCATGTTTACATTGTTAACATAACCAGATAAATAATAAACTTAAAAAGAAAAAATCAAGTTAAATTTTCTCTCTTTTTTCCTGGACAAAAGCTCATATAAGAACGCATTGTAGATTGTACGTACCATCTCTCTCAATTTCTGCAACATCTTCTTCCCAAGCTTTTTGGAATAAGTCATCAAACTGTACAGACAACTCATTCTGTGCATGCCAATACACCATGAACAAGACAGACAAGTTAGGCATAAGGAATAGTGAAAAAATTTTGGAACATAGCTGCTTTTGTGATTAAAAAGTCCCAACCTACTGGGTCTAGACACAAAAACAATTTAACCAATATGTCATACAAAGTGCACTAACATATTGAAGTGGCTTCAATGGAAAACAACAAAGTAGCTTAAAAAACTGACCAACGTTTCATCTGATGTCCTGTCGAGTGAATCTGGATCCTTGTATATTTTCCAAGTGCATGGATATTTCTTCAAAAAATGGAAATGAAAGACAACCATGGTCAAACTAATTACAAGATCTTTAAGCAGAAATTTTCAAAAGGTCAAGGTATTATAAGCAAAATACCGTAAGATCCCCAAGGTTCAGCCCTTGCTTAAAGCTTGGAGCAACAGTTTGAGCAGGGCCACCATTCAGCACCTCTTGTACCCATTTACCATCAGAAGCACCATCAGGAAGAATCCTCTCCAAAGGTTGGGAATCCTCTAGGCCTCCTGGACGGAAAGGGCGGTTATTGATGCTTCCTCTTACAAGATCTTTTGTGGCACCAACAGCACGTGGTAAACCAGAATCTTGGGCACCAACCATTAGTTCTGATACATCCACCTAAAGCAAAATAAGATCTGAATTCTACTAATGAAAGAAAGAAGAAGGAATATCCAATATCAAAACAAGAAAAAGGAAACAGCATTATTAAGTACTTTGATGTTTTCACTCCAAAGAATACGTACAAAGTAAATCATGTGACAGTAACTACCGAGACTTTTGCTCCTTACAAATTCACCAGAGGAGCAACTTAAGGGAACATAAAAAGTGAGTAATTAAGCACATCATACCTGCACTGAGCTGGGTTCCCATTTTCCTTCATCAGATCCCTTCTTTTTCCGCCTGAATGGTAACTCCCAAACTGGAACCACAACACTCCTTGGCAATGTTGGCTCCAATGGTACTTTTGCCTTATCAAACCAGTCAAAATCCCATTGTCTCCCAACTTTTTCTGGAGAAAATTCATCTGGATCCAATCTTGGCAAGAGATATTTCTCCTTTATATGCTCCTTGATTGATTCAGGCGTTTCCCTAGCAAAAGCAGGTGGCTAGAATCAACATAGCCAATAAACCAAGTTATTACCAGAAAGAATAAGACTCAATTGGTTTAAAAAAATTACACCCACCTCCAATCTTTGAAGCCTCAAACATGGTAGACAAATCAATACAAGAAATTCTGTTCATTTTTTAACTTTAAGAAACAAATACACTGTTTAAAAACCCATATTTGCGCTCGGAAGCAAATGATAGCTAAACAAATGTACATAAACTCTATGCGGAAAACAATTCGAAACTAAATCATGAATGTTATCGACCCTGAAAGCTTATCCGTGCACTGCAGCCTTTCTTGCATACTAATTTCCTCAGCAAAAAAAAGGACAACAAAGTTTAAAAGGATTGAACTTGAAGCCGGAAATCATTAAATCATTCGAATTTTAAACTAAACTAACCTTAGACAGTAAAAGACCAAAGCAGGTCAACCACCACCAAGACCAGGAAAAGAATGAAGTGCAACTCAGAAGCTTTAGTTATGGGCATTATCATATCAAGACTGTAAATTTTGAAGCTAAAACATAAAGAAACTCACAAGGACAAACTCCGGGAGGGACTTGGCGGGGTCGGTGCCCTCCACAGTGTAGAGCGGGTCGATCCTCAGGTGGCCACTGTAGCCGGAGAACCCGACCCGGAAACCGAGTTCATTTGCTGCTTTAATTGGATCCATTACGCTCTTTCGTTCTCGGATTTGAAAGTTTTCCGGCGATAGTTTCCGGTACGGGTTCGAAAGCCTTTTTCGCGGGATTTGAGTGAAGGGAAGGGAAAGCACCGATGTTAAAGTACGGCTAACCCTCCGAGTAAGTAACTCTGCAGATGCTGTTTGGACACGAGGAATTAAATATCCTCATAAAGATTACAGAACAGAATTAATTAAGAATTCAAAGTAGCTCGGGTTGCTGGCTGCCCTGATTACGGGTCGGTCCAACCGCCAACCAGCAAGTTTTTTTTTTTTTTTTTTAAATCAGTAAAATTAAAATTAACAAACGAGAAAGAAAGTATTTTACGAATAAAATTATATTAAATTATAAAATATCAATTCTTATCAAAGAAGCATGCTCATGATATCCAAAATCCACTCACCATTTAAAGGCAGATGGTCTAAATTCACTTTTTAAGTCAAATAGTCAGGATAAATTCATTATTAAACAAAAAAAAAAAAAGAGAATAAATCTATCTATAAAATTTTTAACTTAAATAAATTATTTTAAATTTAATGCATGATGTCATCTAATATTAATAATTTATTAATATATTACATTATTGATAAGTTTATTTTTAATAAATTATTAACATTAAATGACATTATACATTTAATTTAAAGTGATTTGTTTTAGAAAAAAAAATATGATACAAAGATCCAAACTTACATAAAATTTGTAATTTTAGATTCAAACTTCAATTATATTCAATTAAAATCTCAATTTACATGAAATTCTCAAATAAGATCCTAACTAAATAAAATATTTTCTTGCCATCAATTGTCTGGCTCCATTAATATCCATTAATGTATGTTTTAATGTCCTAGTTGAATTTAACAATAGTTTAAAATAATACTCCCTTTATTTCACATTATATATAGTTATGAAAAGAAATTTTTGTTCCTAAATAACTTACATTTTAGGATATTAATGTTATAATAATTATTTTTTAAAAAAAATTTGCTCTTCTCTCGTAAAATGTACTCCTCCACTGATTCATTTACTTTTTTTTCTCATTTTTATTCAAAGGGTAAAATAGTATTTTAAGTTTATATATCCTTAAAATCAAGAGTAATAAATTACTTTCTTAATCAGTGTGTAAAAACCTAAAACGACACATAATGTGAAACAAAGGGAGTAGACATTAACAGAGTCAATAAGAATTTAATAGAAGTTAAATTTCTATCCGATTGGAATGTTACTCGAGAATTTTATAGGGTTTAAGATCTTAATTAAGTAAAATTGAAGTTTAAGTCTAAAGCTGTGAATTTTGTGCCAATTTAGGTTCTTATACCATACTTTTGCCTTTATTTAAATTAAAAATTTTATAAGTAAAATTTTCCCATATTTTATTTAAGAATAAATCCGTTTCCACTTCCTAACATTTGGGAGTAAATTTCATCATTCTACCACATCCATTAGTTCATGTGACCGCTGAATACAATCCAGACTTGCAATACCACCGATTCTTAACAAAAATCCTTTGTTCAAACCCCGAGAGTAGCAAATTTAAGAAAAATTCTCCAAAGGATTTAAACCGTCTGGTTAAATGGTTTGTTGGTTTGTATCGGTCCGAACGGTTTTAATTTATCAAAAAAAAAAAACAAAAATCCTTTACTTATCACCCGACACGTGCTGTCAAGCTCGGTTTCTGTCCGTTGGATCCACTCAAGTTCATAAATCACCTTTGCTCCATACTTTACATTACACTACACGTGCAAATGATGGGCCGACCCAAACTAGGTCCAAACCAGAAAAAAAGGCCCACGGACCTGAAAGAATAATTCAACCGAAATCTAATGCGATTTTGGCGTCCATACTCCAGAAGCTTCTGTCATGTTCCTTACGTTTCGATATTTTAATAACCGCCTCACGATTTCTTAACCAAACAAATCATTGCGATACACAGAGAGAGATTAGGGTTTCGATTTCATCTCTTCACGGTGAGTTCTTGATGATTTTCTATCGATTAATGGATTCTTATTTCTGTTTCTGCTAATTGCGTAGGTTTAATTTTTGTGTTTTAGAGTTTTTTCTTTTTTGTTGTTTCGTTTCCATTTGGTGTTGTAGATTATTGATTACTGTTCTTGATTCTGGGTTTTGTTTTGTTTTGTTTTGTTTTCCTTGTCCCCCAGATGTCGTACTCTAAAAGGTCAAGGTATTCCCGTTCTCCTTCTCCTTACAAGGGGCGTGGCAGGTCTGTGTCGAGGTCTCTTTCTCGGTCAAGGAGCTTATCGAGGTATGATATTTTCTTTCGTATCTGCCATGGTTGATTTTATTTAAGTATTTCTAACATGGTTTCTGGGTTTGGCTCTAAAGCTGTTTTTGTTCATCTGATTTGCCTTACGGGAGCTCTGTAAGTGAAGTTGAAAATCCGGGTAACAATTTGTATGTGACTGGATTGTCACCTCGTATGACAAAAAGGGAATTGGAGAGACATTTTGCAAGTGAGGGGAATGTATGGCTGACATGCTTTGTTTCCTTTCTTTTGTATTTTTGTTGTTTGCTTTGCTAAGTCAATAGTATAATTTTCATATGATGTAACAATCATTGTTTGTTGTAGGTGATTGAAGTTCATCTTGTTGTTGATCCATGGACAAGAGAATCTCGAGGGTTTGGGTTTGTTACAATGGCCACAATTGAAGAAGCTGATCGGTGCATTAAGTATCTTAATCGGTCTGTTCTTGAAGGAAGAGTTATCACAGTCGAGAAGGTAAAGCTTCTAGCTTTATGTTCGATTATGTTTTATAGCTGCTTAAATATATTGAGCAACAGCTCATTCCTTGAGATTTGCGTGACAATTATGGATGGTTAGTTTTTATGAGTTTGAAAGTTGTTTGCTTCTTTCCACTTGAAGTTTCTGTGGCAGCAGGTTAGCTGTGTGTAGCAGCTCTTCATCAAACTCCAAAAGTGTTACAACTAAACAAACAAATCAAACACAACAACTGTCAGATCATTAGGGTTGTATGCCCTGAATTTCTCTCTTTTCTTCAACTGTTATATTTTCTGCTGTTTTACTTATCGCACAGGCGTAGATTCTGTCAACTCATGTTGTTTGATATAAATATCTCTACTTGAGATAAAATTTGATTGTTTCTTCTAGCCCCTGTGTGATTTTTGCTGAATTCTTGCTCATGTTTTGAGTTTCATTTACTACAGGCTAGGAGGCGGAGAGGGAGGACTCCAACACCAGGACAGTATTTGGGCTTGAGAACCGTTCGGGGTATGACTTCTCTGAACTTGATTGTTACTTTAGTCAACTGTATGGTGAAAATTGTCTCTTAAGGCACAAAATAATGTCTTTTGATCGTTTCTCTTCTTGTCTGTGCAGTGCGCCATCGATCACATAGCTGCTCTTCTCGGCGGTCTCCCAGTTACTCTCCATACCACAGGAGTCCATCATATTCGCCTGATAGGAGTAGGAGCAGATCTTACTCCCCCTCCCGTGGCCGGCGCAGATCTTACTCTCCATACCATAGCAGACGCAGGTCTTATTCTCGATCTCGCTCTCCATACAGTAGATCACCAGATGACCGCTACTACAGAAGGCGAGAGAGGTCATACTCTCCTGATGGTCGTCACTACAGAAGGCGTGACAGATCTTACTCTCCAGATGATCGGTACTACCGTAGGCGTGACCGTCACTACTCACGAGATGATCGGTACTACAGGAGGCGGGACAGGTCCTACTCTCCATATGACTCAAGGTATGATTCTCCGGATGACAGATATCACAGGAGGCACCACTCACCCTCTGTTTCCCGAAGCCCTACACCATCAAGGTCAAGAAGGAGCTTAAAGAGGAGGAGCTATTCTCGCAGCGTCAGCCCTTCCAGTTCAAGGAGCTACTCCCGAAGTGCTTCCCCTAAAGAAAGGAGCTCAAAGAGGAGCTATTCAAGAAGTGTGTCTCCACCACCTGGGGAAAAGACCAAGAGTTCAACTAGACGGCGTGACAGCCGCTCTCCAAGCAGGATTGCAAGTCGAACCTCGAGATCAGTTTCAAGAACTGCGAGTCCAAGGTCGGAATCACCTTCTAGATGAAGGTGGTAAAGATCTCTGATGCTTTCCTTATTAGGGATTATCTGGTAGATGATTGTATTGGACATCGATGGTACTTGTGTTACTCTTAGGTTTATATATAAGTTGTACTCCTGAATGACTTGTTAATAAGTGGTTTGCAGTATCATTTCTATTTCCATCATTCTTAGGCTTAGTTAATGGCTCATCTCATATATGCTTGTTTGTCTTGGAGTTGTCAGATTTTTAATCAGTCTTTACAATGTGAATTTGGTTATAATTGAATTCTGGAGCACGGTCGTTGGAATATGTATAATGTATGTGGAGGCTCATTTCGTTTAGAATTTTTTTTTTTAATATAATTTTTATATATTATTAATTAAATAAATATCTAATTATTTATAATAACATATAAAGTTAAGAGTATAAAAAAATTAATTATTTAAATAATATAAAAAATTATATTTTAAAATACAAAATAATTATC